CAGTGACAGATAACCTGTGAGAAACAGGCAAGCTGTTTGAGCAGCCAGCTTAGGAAAGCTATGATAGAACTAAATCTAAGAACCATCTTAGAAATCTAAGAACTAAAGAACCATGATAGAACTAAATCTAGCCAGTGATGTCAATGGCAGCAACAGAATTTTCTGTAGGTACATTGGTGGTAAAAGGAAGACTCAAGAAATTGTGAGCCCTCTTCAAAAGTAAATTGCATATTTGGTCACCTGGGGATATGGAGAAGGCCGAGATACTCATAAACGTTTTTTGCCTCGGTCTTCACCAAGTACTCCAGCCCACACCAGTGAAGTCACAGCAGCAAAGGCAGGATCTGGAAGAATGAGGAACCACCCACTGTAGGAGAACATGTTCAAGACCATCTAAGGAATGTGAAGGTGCTCAAGACAATGGGATCTGATGGGATGCATGCATGGGGGAACTGACAGTTGAAGTGTCTCAGCCTCTATCCATCATATTTCAGAAGTCATGGCAGTCTAGTGAAGTTTCCACTGACCAGGAAAAGGGAAACATAAGCCCCATTTTTAAAAAGGGAAATAAGGAAGACCCAGAGAGCTAGAAGTTGGTCAGTCTTACCTCTGCCTGGCAAGATCATGAAACAGGTCCTCCTGGAAGCTATGCTAAGGCACGTGGAAAATAAGGAGACATTTGGTGGCAAATGTGGCTTTGCTAAGAGCAGATCATGCCTGACAAATTTGGTGGCCTTCTACATCAGGGTGGTAGTGTTGATAGGTGAGGAGCAATTGATGCTGTCTCCCTGGACTTGTGCAAAGCATTTGGCACTGTCCTGCTTGATAGCCTTCTCTCTAAACTGGAGAGACATGGATTTTACAGATGGACCACTTGGTGGATAAGGAAATTGGTTGGATGGTCACACTTGAGTTGTTTTCAAGGGCTCACTGGTCCAAGCAGAGATGTGTGACATCTGGAGTTCCTTGGGGTTGGTACTGGGACCGGTGTTGTTCAACCTCTTTGTCAGTGACATGGACAGTAGGATCAAAGGCACCCTCGGTAAGTTTGCCAATGACAGCAAGCTGTGTTTTGCACTTGTCACACTGGAGGGAAGGATCTGCAGGGACCTTGACAGGCTTGAGAGAGGAATCTCAGTGAACCTAATGAATTTCAACTAGGCCAAGTACAAGGTCCTGCCTGGTGGCTTGGGAGAATCCCAAGCACAAATACAGGCTTTGTGGAGAATGGATTGAGAGCAGCTCTGAAGAGGAGGACTTGAGAGTGTGGTTTGATAAGAAGCTTAATGTGACCTGGCAATGTGTGCTTGCAGGCTAGGAGTACAACCACATCCTAGATATTAGGAAGAAATTCTTTACTGTGAGGGAGGTGAGGCACTGGAACAGGGTGCCTGGAGAAATTGTGGCTGCCTCATCCCAGGAGGTGTTCAAGGCCAGGTTGGATGGGGCTCTGAGCAACAGTGTCTAGTGGAAGGTGTCCCTGCCCATGGCAGAGGGGTTGGAACTAGGTGATCTTTAAGGTCGCTTCCAACCCAAAACATTCTGTGATTGTGTGATGCAGTCCTGGGAAGGGATAAGGTTTTTTTTTAACATAGTACTTGCTTTTGACCATATGAGGACAGATCTGTTTCATACAAAACTCTAGTCTAGGTTGTAAGAGCAGATAATTTTTAGGGTGCTCTCTTAGCTTGTTTCACTTTCAAGGAGAAGTGTAGTTAATCTTCCAGCCCATCAGGAAGACCTGTGTGATTATCAAATTAATTATCTGGAAGCTGGAAGGGTTTGGAGCCATCCACATTTCCTACTTCACTATATTTTAATCACTAGCAGCAGCACTGTGAGCTGCAGGAGTCTCACAGTGACAAAGGCTTATGTGAGAGTTAACCTTAGGCTCGTGTGTATTGTGTGAACATGGAGTATGTTGTATTCATTGACAGGAAAGGACCAGCACAGCTAGTTCTGTACAGCATGACCTTCCTCAGCAGCATACCAGGCTTTAAAGGACTTGTGTTCCTGGTGTGATTGGCACCAGGTAGCAACACACGATGCCACTCTTTGGCCCTTGAGACTACCTAGACTTCGCAGTCACTTGTGCTCTAGTGTTGTCTGCTCTGACAGTGAAACCTGTGTTTCAGTTACCTATGAGTTTGTAGAATTATCACAGCAGGTAACGCCAAAAGTGGAGAGTTGTAATGCAGCTTTAGACAGGATCTGGAGCTTTGCAGGCTGTAAGCTCTGCTCTGGATTTCCCACTGTCTGCTCCTACGTTGCACTAGCTATTGTGAAAGCCAGCAGTCACAGAATACACACAGAATACACACAGTAATATACACACAGTGTATATTACTGGTTAACTTTGGAGGTGAAGAATTTTTCAAGTGAATAAATAATGAATTTATTATAGTTATAATTATTTTATAATAATGGACATAATTATTTAAATAAGGTTTGAAACATTTAATATTTTGTAGTTTAGGGGGTTCTCAAGTGCAGTTGTAGTTTGCCTGTTACAGAGTGCTGCCATGGATAGAAAAATAACCATTCTAGAATAATTCACTGCAAAAGTATTTGAATGCTGTTACAAAGATACCATGTATGTGCTAGGTAAGATGCAATTCTCTAGTACTAGAAGGTGTAGCAGCAGTATTTAATGTTTCTTTGACATGAGCTGAATACTTCTTTGAAGTAATTCCTATTTCTGTACATCTCCTAAAAACTGCTCACAGTTTATTTGACTTTTTAACTAGCAATTGTTTTTTAGAATAGGCTGTAATTTGGTTTCTATTAAAACAAATATCCTGACTTTGAATGTGAAAGAAGGTCTGACTTCAGATTTGATTGTTTTTAGATCAGGATGAAATCAAAGTACTTCCACAATTTTCTGTCCACAATTGTTATGAAATGTCTGCTGAAACAGTATCAGTGGGTTTTTTGAAGAGTTCTGGAAGTGGTTCTCTCTAGAGCATGCTTGTGCGTTGGCTTGTTCAGGGTTTTTTTTAGTAAACTGAACTTGAAAATGTGCTAAACCAGTTAAAAATTGCAGTCTCATTGACATACAGCTGTTTTCCTTTCTTTACTCCATGTATGACATTGCACTTAAAATTTATTAGATGTTTGCTGAGATTGTTTACGGAGTGACTGGGTACTGGTGTGAGTTTTATCTTGAAGAAACAAAGCAGGGTTTATATTTTAAATCTGATGGCTTTGAAACCTGAAATTAATCATGCTCAGCTCAGAGCACAAACCACACATCGGTTTGATGAAACAGCTGAAATGTCCTGCAGTGCAGTCTAAAGGCACTTGCTAACTGCTGCTATTGGTGTCACTAATAAAAGTTGGGTTACCAGCATACCAGGGCAGGCTTGATACCTGGACACTTACTGGGTCTGCATGTGTTGGATATACTGTTGGGAGTTGCCACAGTTTGTAACCACTCTGTAGATGAAGTAAAGCTGGTTTAGTAAGATGAAGCCAGCTTTAGCTGATATATCTGTCACATCTGAAGAAATTTGTTGAAGAATTAGCAGGAGATCAGATGTCTTTTGCTGCCTCTGTGCTTCCTCATTCTGGTCTTTCTGTTGTGACAGTCTTAAGGTCCTCTTCAACAAATACAGTAACAAATCTTGGCTGATGATTTGTTTCATCACATTGCACAAGTCCTTAAAAAAACCCAGCAAACCACATATATTCTGGCATTAATTGTTATACTTCCTGAATTTAAAAATAGACTGCTCTCTAGGGATTTATATTTTTTCTCTACCCGTCTGTTATGAATGTCTTCCAGTGTGCTTCATCCTTAATGAAAAAATTAGTTTTCATGCAGACCAGTTCCTAAATGTTTCTGGTACATTCAGTTTTCCCAAACTTGCTATTCAATCAGCTCATGTGTTATACTAGTTACAGATAAACTAAGGTGCTTTACTTGAAACAGATTAATCCAAAATCTTGCTAGTAACTTCCTGTATTTCCTAGTTCTTTCTGGATGTACCTTTCTAAGGCAATGTGTTGTTTCCTTGAACCTGGAATTAAACAGCTGCATTTAATGTTACTGATGTTTTAAAATATTTCTGAGTTCTAGCTTGGTTGGTCTCTTTGCTTGCTTGCTTCTGTTTTAGCAGGACTTGGTCATTGAAGAATGTGTGAATTGATACATTAATGTTTCATCTGAATTTGGAAAAAATTATATAGGCTCTTGTTACCCTAGGGAAACCACTTGTAGTCCATGCTCTTCTAATGCTTTTTTTCTTATTTATCATTATTAGCCTAGATTGTTTTTTCTTCTCTTATCTGTCCACGTTATCCATCTCCTATGATTTCTTGTTGTGTCCTTTCTTGTGCACTGTATTAAACCAGTAGTATGTCTTGGTATATAATTCTGAAGTCTGCTTGCAAATGTAGGGGGAGATGTGCTTTTCAGTCTGTCCTTTCCTCTAAGAAAGTTGTTGTTGGTGGCAACTTCTTAGGTTCTGAATGTTTATTTGGTTAGAGATACATGGATTTAGTTGGTTAGAGATGCATGGATCACATGTTCTCGTAGACTGTCCAAGGAGTTACTTATGATTTCCTATATAGAAGAGGTGGCAGGCTGAAGGTACAGGGCATGGATATAATTGAGGAGAATAAATTTAGAATGTAGTGGAGTAGATGACTTGACATGTTAGTAGTTGAAAGAGTTCATACTAATAGTAACTTATTGCTTGAGTTCTGAGCTAATGGTCTTGAATTGTCCGGCTTGACACTGTTCCCTACCCTTGTCTGTTTTTGAAATAAGGTCAGTGAAACATTGGAGGTTATAGGTTTGATAAACACATAAATAAAGTAAAAACTGAAATGGCTAATGACTGTCTTTTTGTCATTGTCAAGAGCTTCAGTTTTTTTGTCCTGTGGAATACCAGATAAAGGGTTTGTGGGGTTTTTTTTTGTAATACCTGATGTTTAGAGCAAGCTTTGGTAACAGACCTTCTGCTAAGACATTTCTTTTTTTCTCTTTCTCAATTTAGAATGACTTTTCCCATGGTGACTGCATGCCAAGTAATGAGACCAGTTTGCTAGAACGAACCACAGCACCTCATGATGGACTCCCGATGGCTTCCCATAGACCTCAGCGAGAAGGTATGTTGTCTGAGCTTTCCTTTGAGGAAGGCTTTAAGGGTTTCCTTGAACATTAAATTCTGCTTGGAGTTGTAGACATCTTGTATCTATCTTGTTCCTCTGAACAAGAAGCTGCTGTGATTGGTAAGTAAAATAGCTCCACTGCTGCCTACTTGGTCTTTTCTTTGTTATAACAAGTTGTCATTTGTGTTAGCTGCTAACTATTAGTGAATGCATGAAAATGAGCTGCAAATGGGCTTCCCACTGAAAAGAAGGGGTAGGATTTGGGAGAAAACAAGAACATTTAATGCAGCTGTATTAACAGTATTTAGATTTTTTAAAGCAAAATTAAACACAAAAATTAGGGAAGCAGTCGATAAATTTTGCTGCTTGATTCAGCTGTATTTGATGAAATTAAAAAAAAAAGCAACAACTAGATAAAACCACATATTAGCAGGTTTTACAGAAATGGCAGTTTGGAGAAGTGAAAGGCTTCATAGAAGTCGGTGTTTTGGCTCTGTTGGGGAGAAGAACAAGGCTTCTGAGCATAAACAAAACTCTGATATGCAATTGCCAGCACAGTTTCTTCTCTTTGAAGAAATGAGCATTATTGAAAACAGATTTATTCTCACCCTTTTTTCTTCAAGAGGATTAGCAAGTCACTTGTCTACTCAAAATTAGTCAACAGATAGTCTGCAGATAGCAAGGAGCCAACAATATGGAAAAACGATTGCTATTCATTTTGTCCTCATAAATGTCCTTTTGTCTCTTGTGTGGAGATTTAACTGCACTTTGAAGGCAGACAATTTGAGAGTTTTTGATTCCTTGAAAAAAATAAAACCACAGAGAAAGATTATGGCAGATTACAGACAACAAACCTGTTTCAATTCCTTTTATGGAGTTCAAAGTGTTCGTATTCATGAATTAGAAACCTAAAAGGGAGAATCTCTTTTGGTAACACTCTCAAATTAATAACAGAAGCCCAAAAAAGTTGAATAATTTTATCTAGCAAAAAGCTTAAATATTTTTCCATTTGTATTATCATAGTGAGAAACCACAGTGAAGGATCAGAATAACTTTGTGATATTTGCTACACAATTACATGGTAGAGACTCCCTGCTATAGAAATCTCCTTACTGGGTTAGAAATACCACTGATAGTAAAACTCAGGTTTTATTCTCAGCTGTGATGAATATGAATTTTTAAAATCTTGACTTAAAATGGAATCAGTGTCACGTATACATGCTTTACTTAATCATCCTGGATGCATGTGCTGTGTCCAGAATAGATGTAGAGATGCGACACGCCTCACTGGTTTGTGTATTCAAACTTTTCTGCCGGTCTAGCCATTTAGAATATTTAAAATGTCAATGTGGAGACAGAATTATAAAGGAGTCTGTTGAAACTGTAGAATTAAAGGTGTGCAGCAACAACAGTGTAATTACCTGTTGTATCATGTATTATGATGAAGTGTGCAGCAGAAAGAAGTTAAGGAAGTTGAAGGTACTCCATTGTGTAATAAATTTTTTTATACCTGAGGACAAATTTTTAGCATTGAGAACACTCAATAGTCTAAAATAAGCACAGTCTCATTAGGGAAGAAAAGCTTGTCTGTGAATGTTAATGGTCTTAGTTTCCTAATTGTGTATGCTAAATATATGCATGTAGTGGAATGCAATTTAAACCACTATTCTCAGTTCCAGTCATGGGAATCAACTTCTTAATTAACTTATGAATATGAATTCCGGTATCAATTTGAATGTTAGCCATTAAGAAATTTTACTGCACCAGATTTTCGTTGTGCCATGGTCCTTCTTCAAACAGCACTTTAGTCTATACCAGACATGTAAAAATTAAGGTCACTAAATATTCATCTTTTCATAAAATATTGATATTGTCTGGCATCTTTAGCTCATCTCAGATTTCTTTCCTTTGTAGTAATAAATCTTCATTAGCTGGTGTAAATGAAGTGCTTGTCTATCTTCCTAACTCCCAGCTAGAGTATTTCAACCATTATACACCAGCACACTATTTGTCTCTCTAAGAAAATTGGAAGCTGTAGCACTATCACTAGGCTTATTTGCTGGCTTTTTGTTCCTTTATGGAAGTTGCCAATACTTATTTCTCTTAGAAATGGCATGTTTGATAGGGGTGAGACTTGAATTGTAACTGTAACAAAATTAATTTTAAAATGTTTACTTTATATTAGATGGTAATTAGCTAATATCCATTAATAAGTTTTGTAGCATACAATTGCAGGAGGTTTAATTTCTTTAGAAAAAATACTGTTGTTATGATAGTTCCCAATATATCCCATGTAAACATGCAGTTAAAAATTGAAAGGAAAACATTAACTGTTAACACCACCCACCTCCCTCCAAAAAAAGGGTTTCTAAAGCATTGAAAGGAAGCACTGATGATGTAGGGTGGGTTGAGCTGCTTTTAAATAAATTTTTTTTCACATGTAAAGATGTGTTCAGGCTTGCACTAGAATAAAATTTTGAGTGCTTAGGCCAGTATAGCAGCAAAAGTGAAAAGCCCATCCTGGCTACATAAGGGTTTTATATGGAGTATTACCTGAACCATTCTGTGTGCCCTCAAGAAAACCTCCAGACCCTGAAAGCCATATGGTGCTGCTGTTTGCCAGGTCACAGCTAGAACTCACCTATTGCCGCATACAGTGGGCTGTAGGGAAGGAATGTTAAAGTAGCAAGTACTTACAGTACCTTTCTTCCTTCTCAGTTTAGTTCAATAACACTCTTTACAGTACAGTTGTCGTAGCTTTCTGCTTCTTCTCTTTGTTTTCTGTTTGCTGGCACTCATTTCTGTCTCCTTCAGGCCTTCCCTAACTATTTTTTTCGCCTAAGTACCCTTCAGAAATGTGGTTATTTGGCCTTAGTTTGCCCTCATTTGCTACTTGATGTTTCTGATCCCTAGGTGTAGAAGGCACTGTCTGTTTTTTATCAGCACTTGTTACTTCTTGGAGTAAAGATACAATTTGACTTCCTTTTATTGTCTTTTCACTTAGAGTGGTTATATTGTTGTAGTTATGTGACATTTGGTCTAAATAAGCTCTTGGGTAATGCACAGGTTCCCATGACATGCACTGGCGATGATGTTTCATTAGGCCAGAGAAATACTTGGAGAGAGCAAGGTTCTACCTGCCCCTGGCAGTGTGTTGCAATGAAACAGCTCCTAAGGAAGAGTCATGCTGCGTGCATCAGGATTTGGCCTATGGGCATGCTCAGAGAGCCTGGGAAAGTAGGGAATGGTTTGCAAACTGTCAGTTTTGGAGTGCACAATAAGGTGTTTTTCTTTCAGCTGTACACATTGAGAAGATAACCCTGAAAGACGTATCGAGAAAAAGGGCTGACAAACATTTGGAGTACACATTCAAAGTAAGTGAATAACGTCCAGAATGTTAAATTACTGTCTATGTACTGCAAATACATACAGCTTGTTTATAAAACCTGCACAGGAGGCAATTTTGAAATTCTTTGGATTATCCTGTAATTCTTTTGAATTCTGTGTAAAAATCAGGTGTCTTGCGTAATTGTGGGCATAAAGTGTGAGGGCATAAAGGTGGGGGAAGGTGTAAAACATCAGCCATAGCTGGGTGTGTGACATCACTTCAGGAAACTTGGCTTTTGCTAATTCATATGATTTCTAAAACTAGCCAGTCATTTGCTCAAATGGCACAGGAGCACAATCGTTGTGTCTGCAGCTGTAGATTGCTTTGAATCATATGGTCATCTTGGATCTTATTTCTCAGTGTTTACCATATGAGGGTGGATCCTGTGCTCTTCGAGAAAACTGGAGGTTGGTTCCTTTGTTTTGGACTTTGTTTCTTAAGGCAAAACCAAACAAGCTGGAAAATGGCCACAAACTGGAAGGCCTGCCTAGTATAGTTTTCATCTCTTGCAGTAGCTAAGGGCAGCATTCATTAAATAATAGTTGATAAGGCTGCTGGTGGTGATGTTCTAATTGAATCAAGATAGTAATTTTCTTAGCAAGGGCTGACTAACACTGAGTCATTGTGTCAATAGATGTGACTCTGGTAGTATACCAGATTTGAAGATAAAGTTAAATGTTCCCCTTTTTCACCCAAAGAAGAATGGTTTGCAGTAAGCATTCTAACTCACCACTTGATATGGGTTACAGGAGGTCTTTGAAGAAGCAAACTTAAAAAAAGCCATTTTGAGCTGAAAGTGGATGTGTTGATCCCAGAGCTTGGTATTGAATCCTGTGATACTGTATTCTCTAAATGAATGCATTCTTCTTTTGTTGAGGACAGTAATATATGGAATGTACCCTTCAAAGTCTTTAATGTTAACCAAACGTTTCAACCATGTCATAGGTTTTTTTTCCAAATAGTCTGTGAAGTGAGTACAAAGTAAAAATACAGTAGGAGGTGGGAAAATTTTGTACAGAATGCCTATATGGATTATCAGTATTTAATGTCAAAAAACTATTCTAAAGATTTAGCATGTAGACAGATTTGACAGTGGTTTTGAATTTCTTTGTTAAAGGGGGAATGTGGAGATATTCTGGCAAGTATTTCAGTAATCTTGAAATTCCATCAGTTCTTTTAGGAAGGAGTTTCCTTTCCTCGTCTGTGCAGGTATATACTGTGCTCTTCACTGTAGATAATTTTGTGCTTGTCCAGACACTGCTTTTTTAAGGTTTTAACAGCAATTGTAGTCATGGCTTCCCAGCTGAGGGCACCAAGGGTAGTTGGAATTTCTGGGAACTATGCTGAAGGCAGTTTGTGATTGACATTTCTCTATCAGTTCTTGAGAGTAAATGAATGTTTATAATTGTCATGTCCACTCCTGTTACCTGTATCTTCCCATGTAACTAATTGGGCCCAGAAGTGGTCTTAAAGCTGGGCAGCACTCATCTAACCAAGCTTACTTATTTTTAACTGGAAACATGCATGTGAGGGTGATGTTTTACTACTTGCATGTCATGTCAGAACAATAAGCTACTGAAATTTTATACAGGCATATGCCAAAATGTTGTCTGATTCTTGAGTGCCTTCTTTAGTAACTTGCAGTACTTTTTATGACTTGTAGCTTAAAACAACTTCTATGTGACTGTGTAAGATTTGTGTCTGAGGCAGATAAACTTATTTTTTAGGTAATATAAACAGATTTTTTATTGTTTCATTTTGACTCCTAGTAATGACAGTGAGAGCTCAATCCAAAATATCTGATCTACAGTCCTTTTCTCTGGTACCTGTTTTTTGTGGTTTATTATTTCTGATTGATACAAGTCCCATAACTACAGAGCCTTCTGCCAGGCTTCTCTCTGAGTCAGTAATCTTCAGGGACTTCATTGTATTTCCCTGAATTTGTCCATGCTCCCTTTAGCCACAAATAACATGAAGGTGATCCTAAAATACACACTCAAAATTAGCATGTCTTTGGAAAAGTACAGCCTTATCCCCGTTTTGCCTGGTGTTTGCTTAATTGTGAGTGTTAACTCGGAGATCGCCGAATTTATGGAATTGTTCTGAAAAGCTAATTGCTATGAAATTTGGAAAAAGAAACTTTCCTCTTTTTTCCTTTATTCTAGGTAACCTGGTCCGATTTTTCAGTAACATGTGTAACAAAAACACATCAGGAGCTTCAGGAATTCCTCCTAAAAGTATGTATTCAAATATGAAAGTAGTCTTTACACATCAGATTTATAACTTCAGAAGTAGTCTAGGAGAGTTATGATTTCTGGGTTATAATTATAGAAACAAAAGCATGCTAGCAGATTCCTATACTTCACAATTGTATTAACCATTTAATTACATCAGTTGGAATGAAGAATCTTGACAGGAGGAGCAGTCCTGCAGAATGTTTGAATTTTTCAGGTGATTGCTTGTCTCATCCAAAATGTGCTTAGAGTTTTAATTCAAGTTCCATAAAACTACTAGATGAGTTTTTAATATTCCCCACAGAGGTCATGTATAGGTACAACCACTGGTCATTTGCTTGTGTTCTCATTAGAAGGACCTTGAAGAGTGGAATTCGTTACATTTAATTAATGAGACACAGCCATAAGCGTAATAGTTTTTAATTCAACTGTTGTATTCTTCAGTAGAACAAAGGAAGTTTGTTCATCATCACAAAGAGTTCAACTTGAGGAAAATCTAGCATGTATGTGCATGTGTGTCCATGTTTAAAAAAGCTAAAAGTTCTCTCAGTTGTTTTCCCCCATGCTCCAAGCAGAGAATACATTTATATTCATTGGCCATGTGCAGACCCTTTAGTGTGATGACTTCAAACTGTGTTCACTGCCAGTGTCTTAATATTTTGGGTTCCACCTATTATGGGAAATTATTCTATGTTTAAACTCTTCCTTATTCAGGGCAGTAATGAGAGATCTGTTTTGAACATATTTTGATGGCATCTGGTGTCCTTAACTGCAGTGTTAATTGCGAGCAGAAAGCCAGTCCCTGTACAAAGGTCATTGTCTTGTTCAGTTTAAATTATCAGCGTGGTTTTCCAGTATTCCAGAAATGAAGCAGTGAATATTCACAACTACTTTAATCTAGTTGAATATCTGGTTCTAAGAGTTCCCAGAGCTTGGTTTGTGAGGGTTTGAATTATGGATGGCATGTCTGGTTGCAGGTTACCCCACAGCATAGGGTACATGCATTTTCACCTCAAGAGAACCCTAAAAACAGTATTTCATACAGCTCTGGGATGAGCATTCAGATGCATGCCTCCTGTGCTCCCACTTGTGTAAGACAAACGTAAGTGTCTGAAATTGACCTCCTAGAACCTACTTGCTCCCTGGAAGAGCCAGGAAAGCAGACATGATCCAGAGCTGTTTGACTGCTGTAGGGTGTTCCATGTGCTGGCTTGACTGCTCCAGCAATGTCTTAAGAGATGGCAGAACAAGAGGAAGACAACCACAAGCTGCTATGAGCTTCCTGAGGTCTTCTGTGGAAAATGTGCACAACTGAAAAATATATGTAGTTTGCATTGGTTTGATAGCTGCAAGTATAGAAGAGAGAATTGTTAAATAAAGCAGGATAGAACTTACACCTTGCTTTAAAAAAGTATAAAAGTATAAATGTCCGCTTCATATGCCCTTACATTTTGTCTTTTTGTTGTTCTTGTTCCAATCTACATGGCATTGTTAAATAGTATGTTCAGTTTCCTAGGGACAGAAAAGAATGGTCAAAATAGTTGATGGAAAATTATAATGCTGCATGTAATAGAAATAAGATAATGGTAAAAACTGTTTCAGGATAGAAGCATTGGTGGGAAAACTAAGGTAGTAAATGGCATAACTTGGATGCTTTATATTAGAGATTGATTTCTCTTAGGTGATAAGCATGAAAAACCTCTTTGCAAGTAGGAAATTACCCACATATGTGGAAGGACTAATAAGCTTGTAAGTAACAAGGCTATCCCATTACCTTTAGCTAAGTGCCTAATCTTGGCTTCATATAACTAAATCTTTAACTACAGAAGGAATTGCATTCCTTTGCAAGGAGTTTTAAAGACAAGAAGTTAGCTGTTTTCAGAGACAAATCTACATACAAAACACTAGGATAGATTTGCTCACTCCCACGCTTCTGCAGTAAATTTCTGGTACCTTTTGGCTTTGTTTATTCTTCATTTAAAACAGAAATGCTCTTTAGTAGCAAGAATTTTTCCATCTCAACTAGAGCACCAGAAGACCTCACTTTGTTATATTGACATTGGAAAGTTATAATGAATTTTGGTGAGAAGTTTCCATGTTAATAGCAACTGGGGAGGACTTGCTATTAATTAATTAATCTCAGTGTTGCCCACTGAAGTCTAGTGTATTAAATAACTGGTTTCCTTTATACTCCTGTTTATTTAAAATAGTTTAATCTAGCTAAGTGATGATAATGAGTACAGTGCATTCAGTCATGCCTGGTTATTTTTTCATGTTATTTTTAGAATTAATTTCTATGTGTGAAAGATTTAAAGCAATAAATGAAAAAAAAAGGCTGTAAGCTATCCTAGAAAAGACCACAGTATTGGTAGATTTCTGAGTGTATTTCTTTCAAATAGAGCTTTAAACAATTTTATGCCTGGATTTACTGTGAGGATTTACAGCAAAGTGTTTCTCTTGCAAAATTATATGATGTTGATTTGTTGTACCTTTGGTCTGTAAAATACCTCACTCAAACTGGAACAATTGAGTTTCTTGTTGATACCAAAAGGTATAAAGACGCGTAGTGGACAAATACGGTCTTCAAAATGTCAACTACTCATTTTTCACATTAACCTTTTTCTCAGCTCCCAAAGGAACTGTCTTCTGAAGCATTTGACAAGACTATTTTAAGAGCACTAAATCAGGGTTTTCAGAAGAGGGAGGAACGAAGGCATGCTGATCTTGAGCCCATAATCAGGTAAATGTTTTAGCAAATAGCCTGAAATGTATCACCAGAAGAGTGATTGAAGTCAAGCTAGATGACTCCTATGGACAGTGGAAATTCTGCTACCTAAACCAAATTTGCAGAGAAAGTGGGAAGGCAGTGATTGAACAGATACTCTTGACTCTCAGATTTTCTTTGGATTAAGACTTTTACTAGACTTGGTAGAATTATTTCTTTGGAAGTAATTGTACAAGTAGGAAAATATTTGTCCTAAGCAGCATTATATAGCAATGATTGGCACTTGTGGAAGGATACTACCTCCTTTACACAAGGGTATATTTAGAAATACTAGAAACAGTAACTCAGAGCACATAGGTTCTTTTTATGGCAGGATAGAGTGAGAAACAGAATGGAATTTAAAAGGAATAAACAGTAATAGTGAAGCATGTATATAAAATTAAAAGTAGCTCATGTATTTGTAAGAAAATGGCCCATACCTCATCATATGCTATTTAGTCATGAGAGAACTTGGTGGTCGAATTCTGTGACTCAGAACAGTAATATGAATTTGGGTTTGCCTGCTTGTTTTTTTGTTGTGGTTTGGTACAGATGCCTTGTTATGTTTGTCCTTTTCAGTCGGGATTGTTCAATCTTGTTGAAAACAAATTATTCATCATAATGTCGTAATGGGGCAGTGTCTCTTAAATTGAGGTAGTTGCTTTTCAAACTCCTACTCATAACGTTCTCTTGGTTTTAGCATTTTGTCCTAATATTTTAGTTAAAGAAGATGTGAAGCCACTCTGAGCCTCAACCACCCTCTCACCAAGTTTTTAACAAATTTTGGTCTATAATATTTGTCTGTCTCTACTGGCTTGATTGTCAAGCCAAAAATTAATCTGTCTGAACAATTTTGGCTAATGAACATAGTGGTTTTAAACCAATAAACCTGTTAAACAGAGGTTGACTGAAGGGAATGTATTGTAGTACAGAAAGGTTGTAAAGCCTCACTGCACAGTAATTACAAACCCAAGAGACTCACTTCAAAGATAACCTCTGAACGTACCCAACTGTGTTAGAGTAAGCAACTGTAGCTACAGTTTGCTGGTTGTGTTGTGACTATACAGGAATGCTACATGAATAATCTCAAGAGAATAGTATTACTGTATTCAAATTCCTTTTTCTTTCAGTGTTAGTTTTAGCATATATACTTATTTGGGAGTTTCAGTATGTGCCCAGTTGCCAAAAGTTGCTCTCCCCTGCCTCTCCTCCAAAGAAATAGAACTGGGTAATGCCTCCTGGCAAGTCATATCTGAGACCTTGGTGTGTGGGAAGTGAAAACCATTCATTGTTGGCCTATTTTCTTATTTGAAGCTAATAGAATTTGTCGCTGACCTCTTGGTGACTCAGACCAGTGCAGAGCAATGTTGAGAATCCCACCCTTTGCTCTTGGAGATAATTATGAAATTCAAATACTAATCTTATAGGTGAATTCGACTTTGTATTTAACCATATGAATGTATTTAAGAAAGAGATGCGTTGTTTTGGGAAAATAAATGTGCTCTCAGTTTAAAAAAAATAAACTTTAAAATACAGAGTCCAGTGCTTTTGGACTCAGTCCAAACTCCTCTTTCGTAAAATGTTACAAGTGGCTAAAATATTTGAATTGGGATGACTCAAAAGCACTTACCTTTTTAAATTAAAAAAAATCATAGTACCCATTTCTTATATTGGCTGTACTGCAAGCTTATACTATCACTTAACAGCAAAGCGCAGAAGTAGTGTTTAACATTGTTTATGCTCAATGTGCAATTTGAAGGGTTTGGACTTCTTAAGAACTTCCCATTTTGATTTTAAATGGTACTGTAGTAAATTTTTGTGTTCTTCGTATGACTCTGTTATGTAGTTAAAAAAACTCTCATTTAAATTTCAGGCAGCTATTTTCAAATACATCGCAAGCTTTTCTGCAGAATCAGAGAGTATACAACTTCTTCCAATCAATTTCATCAGAATCTTTGCACACTCACAGTAAGAAATATCCTAATACTGTTTTATATAATGAGAAGTCTATAAAAAGCTATTCTTGCTGCTGTGCCTAAGTACAGTTTTATAATTTTGTGTTGTATTTGACAATACTGGTTGTATTTGACCTCCGGGTCAATGAATAGTTTTTTGAGCAGGTACTCATACTTTCGACAGTGGTAACATGCTATGTAGCATCAGCTTGCCTTCCTTCCCCTGCCCCTTCCCCTGCCCCTTCCCCTGCCCCTTCCCCT